AGCAGTTTCTGGGTTTTTTCCTTCCAGAATTTAATAATATAAACAGAAATATGAACTCCCAAATCTAAGTACTCAAATACCAACATAACAGAGAGGTAAACTACCACAATCATTTATTAACTCATTGCCAATATACAAACTTCTCCAATGGGAACATTGTAGATTTTGTAAAAAAAATAAAAATAAAAAAATCCAATAATAACTGGGTAGCTCAGAAGCTTGTAAAACTTCTGCAATAGTCAGATGCATGCAGCAAACCACAAGTATACGCATATACCAAGACCAAAAAGGGTACACACATCTAAACAGTAAAATCAACCACAGATCACAAGGAAACAAACATACCTCAGTTCCAGCAAATTGCTTCAAAATTTTCTTTGCAACAGCTCCAGCTGCAACTCTTCCAATGGTTTCTCTTGCTGAAGATCTACCACCTCCCTGTGAATTATACATTGAGATCAGATGAACTGGTCAATGAATAGAATTTCAAAAATTTCAGTATCACTTCATCATTGTTCTAAAAGATATTACCTGCACTGATCTGACACCATATTTCATGTCATAAGTTGCATCTGCATGAGATGGCCTGTAAGCCACTGACATTTCATTGTAATCCTGGAAATATAAAAGACATGTTTAATGAAGCCTTCTACAAACCATCAGAACAAGCTCAAAATGTCAACTAAGCAATATATTCCTCATGCATATGGTGCTTGTCTCATAATCCTTATACATGTTACAATTAAATCATATCATCCATAACTAAAATGACCCATCAGATTCACAAACAGACTCCCAATCATTTGAAGCAATTCCACATCCTTTAAATTGCTTTAAAGTTATGTTGGCTCTTTAACTACTATGGGAACAACTGTACATTCTAAAGGAACATAGGACATCAAGAGTATTTCTTGTCATCAACAAATTTGCAACCTAGAATTATTCATCCATATATGAGACACCTTTACAAATGCATAACAATAAAAAGGTATCAACTAAATAAATCCTAAAAATGATCCTCCAGAGCAAACAATGTGGACCAATCTCAATGCCACGGTAACATTAAGCACAATCACTTTAAATGCTTTGTAATAAAATTATGTTGTTTCCATGAAATATCAACAAGCATTCGAAATTGTTTGATATTTTCTAGCTATAAGCAACAATGAAAATGCTAAAAAGAAAAAAACAGTCCAAAAACAACCCATGTATTTGACAACTCCCCCACCTCCCCTCAACCCCAAGGGGAAAAAAAAAGGGGGAGAATAAAAAGGAAATACAATAAATAAAAAGAAACATAGTGGTTTAGTGTTATAACCTATTTAAGTTAAACTACTTCAAACTAGATATCGTGTTAGCCTCTAGCAGTGAATACTCACATGTCCTCTCTGATCAGTGTTCGGTACAAATACATGGATGGGTGTTCCAGTGGTTACCCCTGCAATTATTCAGATATGACTCAGTCCATTTATAAAATAAAAATGACAAGGTACCACCATTTCTTTGGCTGAGGAGAACACAAGAAAAGACATAGAATAATAATATTTAAAGACAAAAATCAGACCTTCAGAAACACCAGACTGAATCTTGCATGTATCGGTCTCTTTTCTTGGGGTAGTAATTCGGCTCTGGCCTGGCCTCCTGGACACAGGAACTCTAACCGTTAACCCTTAAATAACTTTTGCAGGACAAAAAAATTGACTCCATTATCAATAAACGACAGACTCCATGACTAACAGAAAATACAACATTATTCTGTCTATATCATAATCCCCAATCGCAGCTCTTAGGATCAACATGCAACAAAAACACAAATCACAAGTGTCAGTAGAGTTAACTGAAATGCTACCTTCTGTCAAGATCAAATTGCATATCAGCTTCCGAGAGACAAATACGGGGAGGGCATCCATCAATAGTACAACCAACACCACCTCCATGTGATTCTCCAAATGTGGTAACACGAAAATAAGTTCCAAACGTACTCCCAGCCGCCTTTATTTCTGTTACAGAGAAAGCTAGATATCAGAACTCAAAAGCTTTTAAATGCCATCCAACTCTATAACTACAACACAAACATCAATTACTAACTTTAAAACAAGCTTATCTTTTAAAAAAATAAATTTCACTAACATCATATATGCAATACACAGACACAAAACAGTTGAAATATCAAGTATCGGAACCCTAAATGATGACCCTTAAAGGTAATCACAAGGTGGGACTCTTAAGAAGTTACAAAAACAGAACTTTTTCTCCATTTCATTAAAAATTGCTTCATGGGCATGATCAAACTATTCCAACTAACTCAATATAAGGGCTCCTTATTGTCATACTAATACAAAGAATCCTTCAAATAAAATGAAACAACAAATTTCCAGACAAACCAACAAACTTTAAAGATTCAGACATCAATCACATATTGCATACAGAAAAAAAAAATTAAAAAAAAAAAAAAAAACTCACCGAGCTTCTTTGGGGTAGCAGAACGAAATAAGATTTGGACAGTAGGAGATGGGTGTTGGCGAAGACCTGAGGGCAGACGAGAGCCCAACGACCCGTCAGTTCTGGGGGCTACAAGGAACTGTTTTGAGGCAATGGAAGAAGCCGCCATTGAAATCAAAACGAGAAGGAAGTTGAAGAAGAAAGAGTTGTGATCTGTGTGTTCTATATATATTTCTTTGGAAGTTCAAAGGGGAGGTTGGTGGTATGAGATTAGTGTTAATGGTTGTTGAGAATTGTTACTTGTAAGTTGCGCCTATACAAATTAAGGGCAGTGCTTACCTACCCTCCCTGTTCATAAAATGTTGATCAAAATCCAAACTTTTCTTTGTCCTTTGGTGGGTAGACTCGGACCACACCTGGTAGGTGGTGGAGGACCATAATTTAATAGAGTAAACGTTTTTCCCACCCAGGGTTTGCCACGTCATTTCACACCCAAAAAGTTTCAAATTATCATTTTCTCAACTAAAGTTTATATTTCGTTAATACCTAAAATACACTTCATTTTTTTCATTAGTATTCGACGAGTTACCAGGAGCTAGAATAAGAAAGGTTTTGTAAGTGGAGGCCAGTGGATCTAATGATGGTGACCGATTAAATATTCGTTGTTGGAATCAACCGTAAATCAACTAAGAACAGGAAACCCTAGATTTGTGGTGATTGGCAATCAATGAGAAATCAGGTGTCGGAGTGAGAAGGGATTTGTAAAAAGGAGATTAGGGGTTCAAATGGTGGTAACAAAGAGAAATTTTGCCGCTAGAATCAGCTTTAGGTAGTAATGGAATATTAACTTTGGATGAAAAAGTGATATTTTGAAACTTTAGTTGGGAAAATGTCATTAAGACAAACCTTGGTGGGAAAAAATTGTTTACTCTAATTTAATATTATGAAAGATTACGACTTTAAAAAAATATTGGGGAAGTTCATTCAAAGAGAAAGAGTCGTGTTGCTTTCGAAATTGTTTTTGAGAAATTATTATTTAGCTCAACATTTTTTAAAAATAAAATCAAATAAAATTTTGCATTTTTTTTTTTTAAAATTTTGAGAAGAGAGGTATTATTAAAGTTTCTTTTCTTTTATCTTTTTAAAGGTTAATAACAATTAAATAATAAAAAATTTCCCTGTAATTATAGTGATAATGGAAATTTTCTAATATTACGTTTTTTGTATTAAAATAAATAGAAGAATCATTAGTAAATATTCATTAATTTATTCTATTATAAATTTTAATAGTGCAATAACAACATAAGAATTTATTGTATTTTTAAAATTTGGAAAAAAAATTATTATTTAACTACAAACTCAGAAACAGAAGAGTTAACGACTGGTTCCCACCCAAAAAATGACCCATTGACAATTTTATACCCACCCATTTTTTTAAAACCTTTTCACTACCCAAATATTATGTTTTGGGTGGGAAATACAATGATTTACGAAAATATCCTTAGCCTCTTCCATTGCCGGTTGGGAGCTGGGTGTTGCAATTAATCGAGCAAGTGGTGTGCGACATTGGGGCAGCGAGGTTGGCGTGATCTAGGAGAGAACGGTGGCTGGAAAATACACAACACCAACAACCGATCAAAAGCCATTGATCCAGCACCAAAAACACTAACAATTTGCAGAGGAAACCACCGCAAATCGTGACTGTCCCACGATGGAAAGAGCTAGAAATAAGCGGCAAATGGCATGCACAGAGGGTTGGGGGAGGGTGGGTTTTGAAAAGCAGAGGGTAGGGAGTCAAACGGTGGTGGCAGGGGGCATTTTGGGTGACTAAATCGGCTGAAAAGATGGCAAATCGTGCAAAATCTTAGGTGATGATTTCAGGCGATTGGCAGGTGCATTGAGCTCGGGGTGAACGAATTAAGGGTGAGAGAGGCTTCAGGAAGAGAATGGAGGAGGCGGTGAGTTTTAGGGTAGATTTTCGACGCCGGAAACGACAGAAAATCTGGCTGTCGTGTGAATGGAGGTAGTGGTGAGAAATGGTGAGTGATGACGACAAATGGAGACTTAGGCTTCTTAGAGGAAGTGATGAGGATTCTGTCAGTTGTCTTGAAAGTGATTTTAAATGTTGGGATCTGCCAGAAACTGGAAAAAACTGTCGACCCTTCTATTTTCTCTTATCCGGTGACCAAATGTTTGTTGACCATTTTGCCCCTATTAATAACAAACTTTTGACCATTTTACCCTTCCCCACAACAAAATTACTATCCTTATTTCTTTGGACACTAAAAAGGTATTTAAAAAATGGGTGGGTATGAATTTGTCTATGGGCTATTTTTTGGGTGGGAACATGTGGTTAACTTAAAACAGAAATCATAATTTTACATTTTGTAAAAAAACATTTTCACATAAAGTCAATCCAACACGTGTTTCCGGTTTTAAAAAAGTGAGAATATAAAAATTTATTTCCAAAACACATCCGCACGCCAATTTCGAAGTTGAAAATGATTTAGGGTCAACTTTCATAAAATCACTTATACTACATTACTCCACATAAATCAACAGTTTTTCTTGCACTTCACCCTTCAGAAAACTCTGGCGCTCATTCACAGCAAACCTGTGAACAAAACAATCCTAATTATCTCATCTTATTTACAAAGATGCAATTGCCTCAACACACTCAAGAAATCTCACGCAAAGATCTTCACTTACGGCCTTCACAATGACACCAAAACACTAACCCAAATCGCCATTTTATATGTTTCATTCAACCAACTTGATGCTGCAACACTTGTTTTTAAATTTATAGCAAACCCATGTAGCTATCTGTGGAATATTTTGATAAGAGAGTATTCCACTCATGGCAACTTCACCCAAGCTTTGGCTTTGTATACTAAAATGATGCAAAATGGTTTAAAACCTGACAAATTTGCCTTCCCTTTCGCGCTAAAATCTTGTGCTGGTTTGTCTAATTTGTTAGTGGGGAAGTCAATTCACCAACATTTGGTGTGTTGTGGATGTGGGCATAATCCTTTTGTTAGTGCTGCTTTAGTTAATATGTACGCAAAATGTGGCAAAATTGAGGATGCCCGTTTGGTGTTTGACAAAATGTCTGTTAGAGATTTGGTTTCATGGACTTCAATGATTTCGGGGTATGCTCACAATGGATATAATAGCGAGACGTTGGTGTTTTCTTATTTGATGCGTTATTCGGGAGTAAGGGCGAATCGGGTTAGTGTTTTGAGTGTTTTATTAGCTTGTGGTAATCTTGGAGCATTGAGGAAAGGTGAATGGTTTCATAATTATGTGATTCAAACCGGGTTTCATTCTGATGTTTTGGTTGCAACTGCTGTAATGGATATGTATGCTAAGTGCGGGAGTTTGGATTTGGCACGAAAATTGTTTGATCAAACACAAGGGAAAGATGTTGTTTGTTGGAGTGCAATGATTGCTAGCTACGGAATCCATGGCCTTGGAACGCAGGCGATTGATCTTTTTGATAAGATGGTGAATGCAGGGGTTAGGCCAAATTATGTAACATTTACTTGTGTTCTTTCGGCTTGTAGTCATTCGGGGTTGTTGGAAGAAGGGAAGAGGTATTTTGAGTTGATGAGAACTGAGTTTGGAATTGCGCCGAAACTTAACAATTATTCGTGTATGGTGGATCTTCTTGGTCGCGCAGGGCAACTTGGTGAAGCAGAGGAACTTATCGAGAATATGTCGGTGAAACCTGATGCAACTATATGGGGATCTTTGCTTGGTGCTTGCAGAATTTATGGTAATTTAGATTTAGCTGAGAGAATCGCAGATAGAATTTTTCAGCTTGACCCATTTGACACTGGCTATCATGTTCTACTGTCAAACATCTATGCTGCTAAATCAAGATGGAAGGAAGTTGAAAAGGTGAGGTCGATGATGGCGAGAAGAGGAGCTAATAAAGTTCAAGGTTTTAGTTTAATCGAGTTCAACAATACCGTCTACAAGTTTGGTGTAGGAGACAGGTCTCATCCTGAATCTGATGAGATTTATTCAGCACTTGAGGAGTTAGGTGCTTCAATGAAAAGACTGGGTTATGTTCCCATTACAGATTTTGTGCTTCATGATATTGAAGAGGAAGCAAAAGAAGAGGCACTTTCTTACCACAGTGAGAGATTGGCCATTGCTTTTGGCCTCATAAAAACTGCACCTGGGACTACCATTCGGATCACGAAGAATCTGAGGATTTGTGGAGACTGTCACAATGCGATTAAGTTTATATCAAAGATTGTTAATCGGGTCATTATCATACGGGACATGCATAGATTTCACCATTTTGAGAATGGTGTTTGTTCCTGTGGGGATTATTGGTAACTACACAGTTTTGATTCATGACTATGCTTTCATTGTCCACCAAAGTTCATAGCCTTATGCTTAGAGATTAGAGAGCTTTACAGGAAACTTGGAAGATAAACATTGGGAAAATATTACTAATAAAAAAAAAAGCTCTAAAACAGGAACCATGCTTTTGTATGGAAAATAAAATATTTTCCGTTTTGGTAAAACAAATATTAATCAAACAATAAATTGAGCTAAACTACATTTGGTGTTGCAGTTCTCTGCAGCACCACGTATACTGTAAGTGAATATATGTAAAAGTACAACAAAGAATGTTACTACCCTACTCTGTTGGTATTAATCCTCAATCGAATTCCATCACAGCCTTTGCTGGAGCATGTGTTTTCAAAATCATTTCTTCGTATTCATCTTCAGGATTAGATAGAGCAACAATAGCCCCTCCTGCCCCTATAGAAGCTTCACCCTCGTGTATGATGACTGTTCTTATAACTATGTTTAGATCAAATGTCCTATTATATGAGAAAAATCCGATGGAGCCTGAATAGATACCTCGCGAACAACTTTCAATAGAATCAAGAAGTTCCATTGATCTCAACTTTGGTGCACCAGTCATTGAACCTCCTGGAAATGCAGCTCTTACACAGTCAACTGGGCTAACATTTGATAGCTTTTTCCCGCGAATTGTACTCACCATAGTATGAACTGTTGCATAAGATTCCACATCCATGAGACGGGGAACATGTACAGATCCAGGCTCACAGACACGACCAAGGTCATTCCTCAGAAGATCAACAATCATCAAATTTTCAGCCTGATCCTTTTCACTGTTTTGGGAGAGAGAATGTTAGCTTACAGCAAAAGCAATGAAAAATCTCAATATTCTGTAAACTGCCATCACAATTTGATGCCTATGAGAAAGTTTTGGCCAAATTTGCACAATATTCAGTAGTCTACCGTATTTCCTCAACCACAATTCTTTAATCTTACAATGAAAAACATATGTTGAGCAACTTTTATGCAATAAAAACAATATCCTGATACTCAACTATTACATCAAAGAGGAAACGAAGTGCAGATCAAATTTTTTATACTGTAGGAATACTAGTAAATTCAGATTACCTGTACTGCAGCTGCAACTTGAGCTTTTCATCTTCGTCCTGTGAAGAGCCACGTGCAATGGTACCCTTGATGGGCTTCGCCTCTAATATACCATTTTTGTCCAATCGTAGAAACCTCTCAGGTGAAGAACAACAAATGCATAAATCTTCCTTTGAAAAATTAAGCCAGGCAGCATAAGGTGCTGGGTTTTTTTCTCTAAGGTGAAGGTAGAGCCCCAAAGAATCTATTTCCCTAATTGTTTTTCTTAACTGGGTCGTGAGACACAACTCATAGCTTTCTCCATCTTTGATGTAGTTCAGACAGTTCTTAACATCCCTTATATAATGCTCTCTGGATCTGTCGGAAACAAAGGCTGTTTTACACAGAGAAAGTTTTGCAGCTTGTGAAGTCTGCTCAAAATTTCTAATTGAAGAAGTTTTTAAGTTGATAAGCTTTTCTTCTGTATCATCCAACCACGGAGTCATTGCCGTGCTTTCTTCATATAAAGACAATATATAAACATCATCAAGATAATGATCAATAACTACAAGATTATCAGCAAAGAAGAAGCAAGCATCAGGAGTCCTGGATTTGTGACGGTTAAATGACACACCACATTCAACTTTAAGGTTATATCTGCATTACAAGAAACTCAATTTTAGATCCATAACAGAAATAGAAAATAGAACATAGAAAATCTTAGGACTGAATGAAAGCAAGGAAAAAGCAATCCTTTATAATCATTTTCATCAGGTATTAGATGTATGAGGAACTGATAGAAATATATAGAAAAGAATGATTAATGAATTTCCCATTTAAATAAATTTATCACATACCCAATGTAACCAATATATCCACCATGAAAGTCAAATGGCAATCCTTTATAATCATTTTCATCATACCGGAATGACACAAGCTCCTGTTACACAGACCAAACAACAAGAAATGTTCATTGAACTGACCTTTAAACCATAGGAATGAGCTAGAAACAAACTCAGTTCTCAGTATGAATGTTATATCATAGTTGGAGCATACCAAGCAATTATTCTCTAGATAAAAGTTTTCTATGTGACAAAATTGATGAACTTAAATCAACTTCCCGCTGATAAAAATTTATAGTTTGAAGCATGGCAAGCAAGCATGTCAGTTATGTTAATTCCAATCCTCTTTGCTTATAGGTGAAGCTACATCGAAATTTGAGAAGCATATAACAATCAGAGCAATATATATCAATACCTTATTCAAAAAGTCAAAAAAACCTTCTTCCAAAAATGAGTTTTTGGTAGAGCCTCGAGCATCTTCAGTCGATAGATGACCCCCACGTTTAAGATCCATATCACTGACACGAGAATGCAGTATATATCATTTGCAATATGTCAAAGTACTCTTATAGATGTATGAGAACCTTGCAACTAGTAAGTTCAACTTAATAGTAAATAGTATAGGTACTTACGTAACAGCACTCACATGAAAACATAAAGAGAACCCATACATTAAATTTTGAACAGAAATGAGGAAATTTAAAATGTTACTATAAATTTGCAAGGCTAATGTTTATTCAAACCTTGGATCAGACAATCTAAATGTTACTTGCTTCCAGAGAGATCCGCCTTTACCCCCCATGAATGAGAAGCGTGCTCTTCCCTGATAATATAAGAAAAAAAGATAAGGAATTAATGGAAAACCAACAAAACTTGTGTTGCTCAAAACATATATATGACTACATGCATGCAATAAGATCCACCATATTGGCCTTTAAAATTTTGTCTCAAAAGAACTGGAATACTTGCACTGTTACTCAAACTACAATTCAAGTATTGAAAACACAAAATTGTGTAACAGCACCATACAAATTTTACACTAATAGAATACATCAAATGCTGTTGATAATTGATATCTGCTACTTTGAATGTGCCATAATATGGATATTCCCACCAACACATGAAGCTGTTCTACAAAAGCCTTTAACACTCCCATACCCAGTTTGTAATGTTCTTAGTTTAGAGTGTCCAATAATGTATCTTCTAAAATTTTCTAAGTCAATAAAATAAAAACATTCATTTTGGAATTCATATAAATTACAACACTGTAAAATAAAAAGAGCAAGATGCTGAATATTAAAACGACAAATATTAAGAAATTTCATTAAAAAACCTTCTCTATCGATGAACTGTCCAACCAAAAGGTATTTTCAGCCTTATTGTCGCCAAACAATTCACAGAAAACATTTTTTGGCCCACCAACTTGACTTGCCAAACGATCAAATTTTCTCCATTTCAGCTTTAGAAATTTGATTCCACTACTTGGATGTTGAAAATTAACCATATTAAACATTCCAAAACTACTCTCCTCTGCACCGAAGGCTACTTCCCCATGTCGAGGAGCTTGTTTATAAAGTTCATCTGAATGATTCCCAGATTGCCCATTTCTAGGAATTTCTCTGAGCAATTGACTAGAAAGGGGCACCTGCATACATGCTAAAAAAGGTTTACTGCTCAGAGGAAAACGCAGGTAAATAATAAACATATTGAGCAGCAAAAAGATAATCATGCTAACAATTCGAATGTATAAATTATCAAATTATAAGTAATTGACAAGGCAAATCTAAGAAAACGAACAACCAGTGTCGGAAAAAAAAAAGGATAGTAGGGAGCATCCAGAGTACAGGAGGTTGAACCAGCCAGTCAATCCATGTTTACAATGTAATTACGTTTGTCTGCAACTTTAAAGTTTAAATTCTTTTTTTCTCCAATGAACTTTCAGATATGAAAACAAGCATTTTTTTTTTTTTTTAAATTTCAAAATCATTTTAAAAAGGTAGCAATTTCTTAGATTGTCCTTATGCAAAGAATGAGCTATGACCCACCAACAAGAAGCCATGTGTCTATATGTTTGCATGCATGTCGGTGGTGGGGTGTGTTTTGTAGGGGCGGGGGCGGGGAATTGTGTAATACATAAAAGTAAAATAAAATAAAAACATGTTCATTCAACAAGAACAACAGTGCAATGATAATACTTGAAGGAGTTCTTGTTTACCAGTATAGTGAGCATTTCTCTCCATAATGTATGATGACCTCCATCTCAACCAATAATCTTCTGTTATGTCTCTAAAATTTCTAAATATCTTGCTCCCATGACAGGTTGCTATACTCTCTGGATGAAACTGAAGCCCAAAATGAAGTCAAGAAAAGTAACAGCAAAAAAGTAGAGATGATGCAATTACAAATACAGTGACTTGCAACAACCTGCACACCATAATGAGGCCTGGTAGAATGCATGATACCCATGATAACTTTTTTGTTCTGCCTCCCATTAGAATGAATGGAAGGCAGATAACGCCCATTTTTTAACTGTGCTGAAATACCATCAGCAAGGATTTTTTCCCTGGTCTGACTCCCACAAGCATCTGGAATAACACCAAACTTCAGGTTCTCAAAATAAGAAAGATTGTCATCAGAAGTGGTCCAAGCTATAGGTATCAGTTCCTTTGGGAGTGAGTCTGAATCTATTACAAGTGAATGGTATCGAACTACCTGCAATATGTAGTACTCGATGAGCTCAAAAAACCAATGCCACACTCAGCCTTTGGTCAATGAGGCTGTAATCTGCAGAAGTTATTATACTTTAATTCAATGGAAAGATAAATCTTATAGCTTATAAGAGAAGGACCAAAATGTTTTAACTATATTTAACTTGTCTATCATATCACAGTTGCACTATATACAGAAAATTCATTTAACTTTTTAAGGTACCAAAATTTACTTCTGACTACTTGCATTTTGGTTCCAGCCGTGGTCACAATATTGCAAAATATTTGTAAAAAGATTAAAGAATAGAACCATTTGTGTACCACTAAAATTCCTAAATTCCTTTTTCTGAATATGGATATCGTGTAGGAGAAATAATGTTTCAAGCAATGTTTTAAAACCCGGCCCGGCCCGGCCCGGCCTGTTGAACCGGGACCCGAAAGCTTCAAAGGGCCGGGTTTATATTTTTCCTATTCACCCAAAACCCTAGGATTTGGGAGGATGATCGGCGAACAATTGACAGCCGGATTGTTGGGGCTTTTGAAGAGAAGGCTCCGGTGAATGCAATGGTGGTGACGGAGTTGATTTCCGGTGAGTAAATCGACCGAAAATCGAACAAAACTGGCAGCAGCAACAATGGGATTTTGCCAGCGATTGGCGAGGCTAACGAGGGTGGGGTGAGGTGGGTTTTGGTCGGGAGGAAGAGGGGAGTAATTCCTAGGTGATGGGGAGGGTTGCCGGCGTCGATGAGATCTGGCCTGGAATGCCGATGCCGACGTCAGTGAGATCTGGTCGAAATCGAACCTATTTCGACCAGATCTTGGGTATATTTTGATGGAAATGGGGCTCAAGGGACGATTGGGGTTGCATCTGGGGTGTCGTCGCCGCCAATCAGTCGCCAGTCGATTTGCATTTGGGGTGTGTTTGATAAATTTCAAACCTATAGGGACTTAACTGTAATTTTTGGGGGTGTATTTGTTGAATTTTAGAAGTTTTTGTCAACCGGTTTGACCGTTGGGTTTTAAAACATTGGTTTCAAGTAACAATAACAGTTTTTGCAAACAGTTGAAAACAACCAATCATACTCCTCCAATGGCCAAATAACTGAGTGTAGTATTCACAACATACTAAATAGTTCCCAATGGAAGATAAAATGTATCTTAATTCAAATTCCTTCAAAAGATGATGACAGTTTCACCTTAAATCCTGAATTCTGGCCAGAAGGAATATCATGAAATAGTTTGCATCCATTATGCTCAATTTCGCTGCAAGGGATGAAGAAATAAAATGATCAAATGCACAAATGGAAACAACAGATAACCCTGTAATCATATTTCACATACCTCAAGCGTCCATGGACAGGTTCAGGTGCGTGAACAATTTCAGCACCATGCACATAACCTAAGGCCTGCCAAATTTTCAATTATTCATGTCAACTCACGTCTTCCTGTGGTATTTTTATGTAGACAAAAAAACCTTCTTTTAACACACTCTTCGTGTTAAAATCTACTTCCGATTTCTTGGAGATGAGAAAGATATATAAATACTTTAGGTTTGCTATTTCTATTATGTCATTCAAACTATGTGAATATGTAAAATATGAATTCTAGAAAAGTTAAAATATGAATTCTAGAAAAGTTAAAATATATTTCATCATTAAGAATGGTAACCTTAACATAATTGCATGATGAACTATTTCATCTTCTTTCTTAAATATTCCCCTTGTATAATATAACTGCAAGTATTTACATGACTATGTAGCACATATTGGGCAAACATGATAGGTGAAAAGATTAATACTGCTTACAACCTACAATCTACACGAAAACTGGAATGCATATGGCATAGCAGAACCAACCAATATAGATTACTACAATACCACAAAGCAGAAGCTAGTATATGTAATCTAAGTAAATATGTACATTATGTTAACAAGAGTTAAGGAACGTTAACAAATGTGGCAGTGAGATGGCATCAAAACATCTGGTTTATATTTGTATACAAGAGGGAACTCAGGGCTATCATTTCAGGACATTTTTCACAAATTCTATGTTTTCAGCCTCTGAGAAAATATTTTAATCTCCCAAAGATGAACTTGAAACCTTTGATCGGAAACTAAACAAACAGACCTTGGATTGGAAGAAGACAATAGCTCTGGTTGAAGGGTAGCAAAAGTAAATAATACAATCATACAAGTGAACACAATGTCACATGCACATAAGTCATGAAATTAAATAAGCACCAAAAAGGAAACAGTTCATTCAAAAAAAAAAAAAAAAAAAACACATGCACACACGCAGGAAAAGGAGAAGAAAAAAAGAGATACCTGGTGGCCAAGGCAAACACCCAAAATAGGTACATCCCAGCATTCAAGCAGCAGTTGAAGACATATTCCTGAGCATTCAAATGATTTTTCAAAATCTTAATTATAAGAAGCAGACATCCAGATAGCTATATGAACAATCATCTAGAATATATTTACTCATAGAGGGTGTTTGAAACAATGAACGCTATCTAATATGAGGTATAACAATAAAATGCTTCCTCTCTGAGTCTTGGTTCTGGATTCCACATCCTTATGACTGAAAAAGCCTTACAAATATAGCTACCTTAATCCATTAGTACTACACATCCAGTGTGTACTTCTCAAATTATACATCTTGTGCTGCCATGAAAAAAAGAATTAATATACATATCTCACCTATATCTGCTGGGCATGCTGGAGAACCAGGTCCAGGTGATATTACAATGTTATCAAATGCATTCTCTTCATACATGTACTGACAGATGTCTCTCCATGTCCACTCATCATTGCGCACGACAACAGGAGGCACTGTGACAGTAACCCAACAGAAAAATGTCAAAACAATTATCATCCAGTATATATTATCTACTTAGAATTCTAGGATCTATAAACACAGAGTGAAGAAATCATTTTATGGCGTATCAAATATCTTTCCTATTTTACCTGCCACTTTTTTCCCTACTAAAGGAGAAAGAGTGCGAGTCAGAATAGATGAAACATCCTAAAAAGAGAGCCATAGTTCAACACCCAAGTCCACTCACTAGGGTAATTTTGAGGACGCATCTGTTTCTTGCCCAACATCAGATTTTCTGAATCTCAAACAATTCACATATCCATTTTCAACCATCAATATGTCCATATTCTGGAAATATGAACATCACTTTTATGTTTCCTGAAACAGGACGTCTTAAGAAATTCTTCCACAAATAGTTCATAGAAGAGCCTACTAAATGACTTTTTATTTTCAACACTTCCAAGAACAGACATCGGCTAAAAAAATCTACCAAACAGGCCATGCATAACTCTGCTGATTTGACCAATAATGACAGAATCAACTTCCTCGTATAGAATTGTGATGGTAAAAAGAATTCAATCTGGAATCCCCCATAACTATGCACTTAGTCCAACATAACACTATAACAAACGGAAACGAGCTTCTAAAATTGTCTCATGGCACAACTGGTAAACTTATTACGACAGGAACGGATTATTCAGACTGACTTCAACAGAGCATAAACAGACAGAAAATAAAAAATAAAATAAACAACGATTTTCCCTATATCAGTATCTGACTTTCTTTATATGAATAAATTTCTGTACAAAAACAAAAAGAAAGCTTAACACTTATAGCTAAACAAAGGGTGTAACAATTTAAGCTGATTGCAACCTTCATGTGTGCAGGTTACTACATATGAGAATTAAGAATACAAAATTTATAATATTTAATATAAGAAAACAGGAAATGCCACAAATGCATAGATAACATAAGTTGGAAAGCCAAAGGCTGTGAACCATAGGATCCATAAACAATCAATAAGATTATTGCATGTCTTGCTTTTGAAAAACATAAAATTGAATCTCCAAACATGCTCAAATGAAAGAAAGAGCAAAACTTACACCCATTAATGGTGCTAAGCTCTTGGTAGATATTGTAGGTATAACTGTCATAGTTGTCAATCAACAAGGTTCTAACAAATTCAAGCTTCCTGCTGGACTCCTCGAGGCGTTTCTTTCCCATAAACGACCCTTCTAAGTGTCCACGCATTAACTGGCTAGTTACTTGAACATGAACCTTCTTAGAATAACAATCACCTACTCTTACAAAAGGCCTGCACACATCTAAGGTCCCATTTTTACCCCTCAAACCCACAACATAATGGCATGTCAGCTCTGAAGCTGTTGAAGAACACAACGCCATATTCATCCTACCTTTCACTCTGAAAAATAAACATTACAAAAAAATGAACATATAAATTGCAACACTATTACCAGTTAATTCTTCGATAACATAATGATCTCTACCGAACTAATAGCAGTCGCTTACAATGATAAAATATTAACATGAAATAATCAAGTATTATGTATTACTAAAATGATGCTTATGTATAAAATGCACTTCACATGTTGCACATACTTAAACGATGCCGGATTAGCAATTCATCGATAACAAAATGACCGTGTAAATAATATAAACTCAAGGGAACATTATGCTCATTCCTAGCCGCTTGCAACGATAAAAGATAACATATTGGTCACTACTAAGACGTTGCAGTTCCGGTAATGTTACCGCGATTATGTTCCCGGTAAAACAGCAATTCAAACAAAATCAATGAAGTTAAGCAAAAAGTTGAAGATGTGAATTCTGAGTTATACATAAAAAAAACATATATGTATACATATACCGTTTATATAAACAAAAGGATGATAGATACAGATCTGAGACGAACCTTAGAGCATAACTGAGCGGGAGGTATTGTGGCGTTGTGCAAAGCGGCGTCGTCCTGGGGGTATGCGAGTGAGAATGTGAGGTTGAAGATGGGAGAAAGGAGAGCCTTAAGAGCGAGGCAAAGTGGGGTTATAAATTAAAAACTTATACAATAAAGGCTTAAAGAGTCCACATAAGGAATGTGGGATGGGATCCCACCAAATATAGACAGTACAGATTCATTTGTAATTGGACCGTCAAAGCAACGTACTTGTGTCATCTTCAGATAATCTTAGCCGCCTATCACGCCTTCATTTTTCTACCATAACACTGGAGGGAGATCCAAAGTTAGTGACCAAGATCCATCAGTTTACTACAGTAAAATTATAAGAAAATGACTCAATCACCCCTCTAATTTCAATTTGCTTTCCACTGTTTCAAATGCTAAGAAACTATTTCAACCAATATCAGTGCAATATTATACTTACACACTGAGTCATATAAACAGATAAAAAATAAAGACATAAAAATCATTTTACATTAATTAAACCTGTTAACCAAAATTAAAATGACAAAAATACATTTTGTATAATAACTACCACGGGGTGACCTAATGGTAAAAAATGGTCTAACATAGATGTCTAAATTTGAGTCCCCACAAACACTAATAGAGATAGTCACTAAGAGGATTTACGTGGTCATTCACTTCAAGGCCTCGAGGACAATTAACTCTATGCATCAGCTTGATGGTCAGCGCAAATCAGAATTGTGTGGCTAAACATAGAGTCTCGAGCCTAATTCCTCATTTGAGTATCTGTTATTTAAGTGAGAAGTTGTGTCAATGAGTTCCAACTAGCCGGAAACCTTGGTTAAAAAAAAAAAAAAAAACTTTCAACTAAAGTTTTATATTATAATGATATATTTTGTATGACATTCTTAATCTTATAAGACTTGGGATATTTTAGATATTATATATGTTACTATCATGGGTTGAAATAAAAAAGTTCATGATAATATCTAATATTTATCATCATTTTTTATTAATTTATTATTGGGATTTGGTTCAATTTAAATTCAACGAACCGACTTTTGGTCACTCACCAACATTGAACCTCCCACTATGTTAGGTGGAATTGGGTTGGTGACTTATTTTTATATTAAAAAGAAATGGGGTGGTGTGTCTTGAAGTACAACTTACGTTTCCATCTCTAAGAGGATCTTAAAACTTTGTCTCGCTCCTCTTGATATAATGATATCTCCCTACGAATTATTTAAAAAATAATACTACATCAATAATTCTTTCTCACAATTTTAATGTGGTAGTTCATAATTAATTAGTAGGACTCATACAGAATCCATGTAAGACATGTTGTAAATTGACCAATTGTACGCTATCACATCAGAATTATAAGAGAAGATTATTGGTGTAGTATTATTCTTATTTAAATGTAATCTCTTCCTCAAATCATAAATTAATGTTTAAATTTTGAAAAGAGAATTTACAAATACAATTTGGATCAGGCTTTATGAACCAGTTTCCTAAGAGCCCAATTCAATTTTAGGCCCGAAGTTCGAGCCCAATTCTATTCGTTGATCTGTACCTAGCATTGGGTTCAGTAATACACATTTGGTATAACACCCAATGGGCCAATATATATTATCTATTTAATTAATTAGAATTGTTCAGGCTTGTCCTTGTAATTTTTTAGAGCGTTGAAGCATGAACGTTAGGGCGTTAAAANAAGTTCGAGTCCCTATAGACACTAATAAGAATTGTGTGACTAAACACACAGTCTCAAGTCTGATTCCTTATTTGAGTATCTGTTATTTAAGTGAGAAATTGTGACAATGAGTTTCAACTAGCCCGGAAACCTTGGTTAAAAAAAACTTTCAATTAAAGTTTTATATTATAATGATATATTTTGTATGACATTCTTAATCTTATAATACTTAGGATATTTTAGATATTATATATGTTACTATCATGGGTTGAAATAAAAAAGTTCATGATAATATCTAATATTTATCATCATTTTTTATTAATTTATTGTTGGGATTTGGTTCAATTTAAATTCAACGAACCGACTTTTGGTCACTCACCAACATTGAACCTGCCACTATGTTAGGTGGAATTGGGTTGGTGACTTATTTTTATATTAAAAAGAAATGGGGTGTTGTGTCTTGAAGTACAACTTACGTTTCCATCTTTAAGAAGATCTTAAATCTTTGTCTCACTCCTCTTGGATATCATTGGGTATGTTTGGTTTATTATTTTAGATAAAATTTTAGGAATGATATTAGATAATTGGATGGAAGAATATTACGAAGTAAAATTTAAAAATTTCTAAAAAACCCCTTAGGTTTGCTAATTTAATAAACACCCTAATATATAAAAAATTTGTAAAATGATAAAAACACCCCCACCACTTGCAGTGCCAGATTTTGGCTACTACTGTCAGAATCTGATCAAAAAATTGTGTTACAACACAGACCGGTCGGATTTGTGTCGTAACACATAGATATGGCTTTTTCCAGCAAGATCTACCACGGATCTGGCCGAAAAAGACCAGATCTACAGCCAGATGTGGTTGTCGACGGCCGTAAAAGCCCATCGACAACGATGGCCATCACTGACGCCCAGATCGGTGAATTATCGGTAAGTTCTAGTCGAGATGTAAGCCATTGTGACAGATTCTGGCAAACAACCACCGACGGTGGTTGCCGAAATCTGGCAAGAATGGGTGGGTGAGGGTGTTTTTACTAATTTTTAAACTTTTTTTTGGGGGTGTTTAATGAAATTAATAAACTTAAGGGGTCTAAAAATTTAAAAAATATAGTAATATTTCTGGAATAATGTGTCAAACAATATTTGGAAAATAGGATTGGAAATAGGGAATCAAACACACCTATACGAGACTCATGTGAGATCTATCGTGAACTGACCAATTACGAGCTGCACGTGATTCACATCAAGGTTATGAAAAAAAGTTTATGAGAGAGGATTGTTAGTATAGTATTATTCTCATTTAAATGCAATCTCTTCCTCAAATCATAAATTAATGTTTAAATGTTCAGGCTTCTCAAAATATTATTCTATATTATTCAAATTCTTTTAAACCCCCTAAATTTATTAATTTAGCTAAACAACCCCAAATTTAAAAAAAAAAATTGACAAAAACACCCTAACAACCCACATTTACCAGGCCGGAATCTGGTGTAATGGCGCACTACCAGCTGAATATGGCCGATAGTGCACCAATCTAGCATTTTTCGATCAAATCTACGGTGGATCTGGCCAGAAAATGACAGATCTACGGTCAAAGATCTGGCCATCAACGATAAGATCTTTGGCCGTAGACAGTCGTCAATGACGGCCGTATCTTTGGCCGTCATTGACGATCAAATGCGGTCAGATCTGGCCAAATCTTTAGCCGGAAAAGGCCATATCGGCGCACGACTAGCAAGATCCAGCTGATCATGCACTGATACGGTGACTTCGACCATTCTCTGGCGGTGGTGGCCGGCTGTCCGTATTTAATGAGTGGGTTGGGGGTGTTTTTGTTAACTTTTAATATTTTATTATAAGGGTGTTTAGTAAATAAACAAACATTAGGGGTATTTTGTTAATTTTTAAATTTTTCATCGTAATACTTACCCAATTTAACTTTTTTTCAAAATATTATTCTAAAAACTATCAGAATAATTAACCAAACGGACTCTTCAATTTTGAAAAGAGGATTTACAAATACAATGTGGACCGCGCTTTATGAACCAGTTTCCTAAGAGCCCAATTTAATTTTAAGCCCGAAGTTCGAGCCCAATTTAATTTGTTGATCTGTACCTAGCATTGGGTTCAGTAATACAATTTGGTCTAACACCCAATGGACCAATATATATTATCTATTTAATTAATTAGAATTGTTCAGGCTTGTCCTTATAATTTTTTAGAGCGTTGAAGCATGAACGTTAGGGCGTTAAAAAGGTTATCTTAAAGAAAAGAAAAAATAGTTCAAACTGAGGTACTCCAAAATTTTAACTTTCTGGAATTTAAAATTTGAATTTTTTTCTTTCAAATACAAATCACTTTTTAAGAAATTCAGTGGGTGAAATGTATCAGCTCTGGAATGATCAAATTAAACTGTTAAAAAAATAATATTTGTTAATGCAGTGTTTGATTCAAAGTTTCAAATTCACCAATCATACTCTCTATTATAGCCAATAGTCCTCTGAAAAAAAAAAACTATAAGAAATTGTGATATCAACTATCAAGTGCACAAGACTGAAAAAACTCCACGAGGGTGGAGGATCGATATTCAAATAGTCAAAGCAGGAAACTGGATTCTAATTCTTTGGTTCATTTATCAGCCAATTGATTATATATTCCTCAGTGTGAAAGCACTCCGAAAATTAAATTTCAGATAAAAAGTATCTTAAAATATCTGAAACCTAAACTTGCAAGTTATTTTAACTTGCACAATTAAGTTGGAAATACACAAGGAAATGAACTTGGAGCCATAGCAGGCTAACAGTCTACTAATATTTTGACTAATTCCATGGCTGACGAAAATAAAATAAAAAGACTACCTTCAGACCTTGACTGATTTGTTTTTAATTTGAATGGGATTTCTGCAAATAGCTGCCTTGAATTCAGTTCTTCTTATCTTAAGCCACTGGTCAATTTATTACCTTATGCAACTCAATTCCAACTTTTCATTTCTCTAGTTCAATTCTCCAAGATATAATAATAGAGTTACACAAAGTAGTAGATAAAATTAACTCCAACATTTAACAACGATATAGGATTAGATATTAAATTTACTCATATAGTCGTATTAAACTCGAGTGAGATCTCGTATGATCGGTATGCACTGTACTTTCAAAGGTTTTTTTGTATTAATTCTTGTGTCATAGTAGTAGGGTTAAGGATTCCAAATAGAAAAATAAATAATTGAAGTTCGAATTTTTTTTTTTTTTTATGATTGGAGATGTTCAGGCCAGTTTGTCCCATCTAACTGATACCTCGAGACTTAAACTATTAATCGGTAAGAGTTTTAGTAATTTCCCTATTAGTAAGATAAGAACTTAAACTTGGGAGACTATCCAAACTTAAAATTGGTTAGTATTCCT